GTTGCCAGGCTGGAGTGCAGTGGCACAATCTCAGTTCACTGCAACCTCTGCCTTTCGGTTCAACGATTCTCCTGCCTCAGCCTCCAAGTAGCTCGGACTATAGGCGTGTGCCACCAGGCCCAGCTAACTTTTGTATTTTACGGTAAGATGAGTGTAATAGTATCTGTTTTACAGGATTGTTGTGAGAATTAAACAGTGTTAATTACTATTGTAAAGTTTGCAATAAATAATTATTATTTATGTGTTGCTTTAGCCTGGTTTATCTCCCGGGAGATGACTTTATTTCTAAATGTACAGGGGTTTCTTAGAAGAGCTTCAGAATACTAATCATCGCTAGTGAGGGCACTTGGACACTTTGCTTAACCTCAGCCAGCACCTCTTTTCCCAGCTGTAAAATGGTATGATAATAAGCACCCCTAGGAATCTCAAGGATGTTATGAGGGGAAAATATACAATAATATACAAAGCACTTTGAGCTTCTCTGAAGAGAGACGCATATAAATGGAAGGTGGTATTAGAAGGTGGGGTAATCACTGGTTACCTCCCCCCCTTTTTTATTTAATTAGGAGAAAACTAGTAATTAGGAAGCATGGCCTTGTTAAAGCTGTGGCCTGGGAAATAGTTCTCTTGGCACTTAATCAGAACTGTGACATGGCGCAAGTTTTTGCAAAATGTGGGCAGCAGGGGACCTTCCCCCAGGCTCAGATTGTGAGAAATTTGCTGTCTAGGGGCCAGATCCTGAGGTGGCTCAGTTGGCTGGGGAGCCTCCTGAGGAGATCTTCACTCAGGTCTGCAAAGGGACTCTGCCCTGCCTCAGTAGCCCTAATCTCTGGGGGCCTCAAAGTCATTCTCATCTGCAGGTTACAGCTTGCTGCAGGCCCAGAACCAAGCTTTTCTACCACATTGAACCCACTGGGGCGACTTCAGGCTTCTGAAAAGCACCTCAGATCTAGTCTGGTCTCTGATTCAGTAGCAGAGACAAAGAAATCCCCTGCCTGTTCCCCTTAAAATGGGCCATTGTGGAGTAGGTGCTGGGGCCCTAGCTTGCTCCCCACTGTGCCTTTGTTAGAGCAGTAGCCTCCAGCAGAACCCACTGTCTCTCCCTGCGTGTCCCAGTTTGCCTGTTCTCCTGGACTCTGCTTAAAGGCCGCCTCTGGCAGGAGACCTTCCCAGGTCTTCCCAGTTACCGTCACTCTCTTTCTCCTCTAGACTCTGTGTTTGGTACAGTGTGGCTTTTGTGTTTGTCCTGTCTTCTCTCACATTTGATTCTGAGCCACTGGAAAAAAGGGAAGGACAGTAAGTCAGAGAAATGAAATGTTCCCATCCCTAGGCACCTGACCAGATGTTGCAGACAGACTGACCAGCACAATTGTATTGATTCTCCCTCAATGCATTGAAAAAGCAAACGAGAGGCATCTGGAAAATCTTGAGATAGGCAGTTCCATTTTCAATGACGAATCTCTTAAAATACACAGAAATGGTATAACAATCATGTATCCACCACTTAGACTACCAATTGTTACTCTTTTGTCATACTCATTTAAATGTATTTTTATTATGTGTTTAAAAGAAGTGAAACTTGTAGATACAGCTAGGGTTCCCTGTGTCCACTCAAAGAAGTCCCTTCCCTCTCCCTTCTAGGGTCCACCACTTTCCTTGTGATTTGATAAAGGGCCCTGCATCCATGGATGGACAGAGGGGTTTGCTAAAGTGCTGAATTGTGTGTGAAATTCTACGTGTGCATCTTTCTTACACATGCCATGTCCATTGCAGAGCTGCTCTTGACTCAACCTTCCAGCGGTCTCCACTGCAACCGCTCTGGCCCAGGCTACCATTTTCTATTCTTTTTTTTCTCTCTCGCCAGGTTTGGAGTGCAGTGATGTGATCCAGGCTCACTGCAACCTCTGTCTCCGGGGTTCAAGCGATTCTCCTGCCTCAGCCTCCCGAGTAGCTGAGATTACAGGCCCACACCACCACACCCAGCTAATTTTTGTATTTCTTAGTAGAGACGGGGTTTCACCATGTCAGCCATGCTGGTCTTGAACTCCTGACCTGGTGGTCCACCCACCTCAGCCTCCCAAAGTGCTGGGATTACAGGTGTGAGCCACTGCACCCGACCCAGGCTACCATTTTCTGACATTTAAATCTTTTGCTTCCCGTAGCAGCCTCAGACAGACATTCTAAAGTCTTAGATCATATTTCCCCTTTGCTCATAAAGTCCACTCATGGTTTTAGATTTAACTCAGTAAAATTCCTATGTGGTATGTGTCTCCCGACCTCTGCCCCTCTGACCTCATCTCTCTCACTGAGGCAGCCTTCCTCCCACTTCCCGAGGTCCAGCCATTCTGCTCTTTTCGCTTGTCTTCATTCACGCTGGGCGTGGCCTCAGGCTGTTCACGCTCTTGTTACTGCGTGCTTTCCCCAGTTAATCACATGATGAAACCTCTTACGTTCTTTGGGTCTTTGCTCACATTCACTTCTCAGTGAAGATTCCCTGACACATCCTGTTTAAAAATGTGACATCATTCCCACTGGTCTCTCTCTTACCCTGTTGTAATTCTCCTTTTTCCATAGCACTCTTTACCGAGACAGGGTCTCACTCTGTTGCCCAGGCTAGAGTACAGTGGAGTGATCATGGCTTACTGTGGTCTCAACCTTCTGGGCTCAAGTGATCCTCCTACCTCAACCTCCCGGGTAGCTGGGACTATAGGCACATTCTACCATGCCTGGCTAATTCTTCGTATTTTTTTTTTTCTTTGTAGAGATGGGTTTTTGCCATGTTGTCCAGGCTGGTCTCGAACTCCTGGGTTCAAGTGATCTGCCCGCCTTGGCCTCCCAAAGTGCTGGGATTACAGGTGTGCACCACCATGCCTGGCCCACAGCACTTGTTTTCTAGCAAATTATGTATTTTACTTATTTATTACATTCATTTTTTATTGCCTGTTTTTCTCTGTTACAATATAAGCTCCACGAGAGCAGGAAATTCTATTTGTCCACTGATGCTTCTGAGTCCCTGCAGTAGTGCCTGGCACATAGGTGCTCCATCAATATTTGCTGAAAGATTACATAAATAAATGGATGAACGGATATGAGCATTTCTCACTGGAGAGGGTCCAGAACTTTCATTAGATTTTCCAAGGTGTCTGTGACACAAAAAAGGTAGGAACCATTGACATAGTAACCCACCAAAAAGTTTGCTGGAAATTCTTTGCTTGCCGGGAAGTCTGCCTAATGAAGCAGGAGGTCCTGAGGGATTTTTCTCCTTTTCTGATTTGTGTCTTTCCAGAGAGCTAATGCTGGCAGCTATTGGGATGTCCTCTTCCAGGACTGGTGATGAGTTTCCTGGTATCCAGCCTTGGCCGGACTGAGGTAGGGAACCAGGGAGGCATTGACGGAGACCATGGGCAGGAGCCCTGGCAGTGGGCCAGCTCCAGAGAAGCCGTAATTTTCCTTGCTCCTTTTGTGGAGTCTGTCTGGGAGCAGAGGCTGAATGTGGCCACAGCCTCCTGAGCTTCCTTGAGGAGCTAGGCAAAATGCCCAGACCAACAGGAGCTGCTTCCTGCCTTACAGGCTCCAAGCATAGGCAAAGAGTAAGATCAGGACTTCTTGTAGGAGCCTTGGCCTGGGTGACCAGACAGTGGCTTGTGATGCAGAGAGAGATAATAGTCAAGTGGGGGGAGCTTGGAAACAAAAAGACACCAAAGGCCATCTGGAGTGGATAGTGGGAGTGAATTGGAGGTGAGTCAGCCAGCTCACAGGGCAGTTAAAAAGACAAGTGGGTAATTGTGGGTGCAGTCCGCCGGTCATACACCGAAAATGAGGAACAAGTGGTTAATTGGGCCCACAAGGCCAGGATCCCGCCTATAATTAGCAAATTGCAGGGCTTTGATATTTGCTTTGGTAACAACTTGTGTAGTAAATTGCAGGGAGGAAAACTGTACCCCCAGCCTGGGGAGTGACTCTGTGTCACTATTCTCTCACAAACACTTGTAGGCAGCACACACATGAATATACTCCCAGCATTGGCAGTGGGACTTGCACCTTTCTGCAGGCTGACAGCCTCCTGTGATGCTTTCTGTTTCCATTTACCCCTTGCTTAAGTTTTTGCCAATCAGGGCTGAAGCTGAGGGCTGGTTTCCTGGTGCATGCTCCCATTGTTCACACACTGATTTTCTTGTTCCCTTAAGCTGCAGCCCTTGGGGAGGAGAGACCTTCTGACCAGAGATGTGACCAGGAGTGGCCATGTGGTAATGGCCATGGGTAATTCCCATGAAAGTTCTATAGTGGGGGAAGGGGAAGAGACACAATTGAGTTCTGTTTCAGCATTGTTGAAATTTTGTCTATGAGGATGGTCAGTGCTTGTTCCTGATCAGAGACTGGCCTTTGTGGTTTCATATCTGTGGCTACCTCTGCAGGCTTCTCAGCCATTGTAACCAAAGTGCAGACCAGCAGCATAGGAAAATTGCACTGGGATTGTCATGGTAAAACCCTATAAATGTCCACACATACAGAGAGACTGGTGAGCACAAGCAATGAAAAGAGCACTAAATGAAAGTGCCAGGAGACCTGGGTTTGAATTTGCACTCCCTACTGATGGGTCTTGTCAAGTCACTTAAATACTCGTACATCATCTCTGTCATTTATAGGTCTGTTTCTATTGACTGATTTTTCTCTTGATTATGGGTCACCATTTTTCTGCTTCTTTATATGTCTAGTAATTTTTTGTTAGATGGCAGACATTGTAATATTCTATCATTAAGTATTTGGACTTTGTTTTCTTTTTTTAAAAAGAAATCTTGGTTTTGGGCTTTATTTCAGCAGACAGTTAAGTTACACATGGATCAGTTTGACATCTTTGAATCCTGGCTTTACATTTTGCTATGGAGAATATAGAGTAACCTTCACTCCAGGAATAAGTCAGCCTTTTTACTCAAGTGTGATTTATCTGGGCTCTTCACTGAATGTCCCAAGGGATCACCAAGGACTCTCCACTTTGGCTGGGTGATGCACAGTGATGGCCTTACATTTTGAGAGCTTTAGATTGTTCAGCTTACAACTCTTCTGTCATTTATCTTCCCTGGTCATGTAGAGTTTCACTTTAGACACATGTAGTTAAATACTCAGCAAAGACTCAGGAAAATATCTCAGTAGACTTATGGCGTTATTCTTCTGTGTGTCTCCCTCCTTTCAAAAATTGTGACCCTCAACTCCTAGCTGCCTCAGGTCCGTAGACAGATCTCTGTCTCCTCAACTTAGTGAAGCTACTGGACTGTGCTCGTGGACTGGAAATTGCCTCCAAGCATAAAGCTAGGGTTATTTCAGGTCTCACCTCATTGATGCATTTTCTCACAGATTACAGTTTTGCACTACCTATTTCCCAATGTCTGAGAAGAGTAGTAATTCTATCAAGACTGGAAGTTGAAGTCTTCTCAAGTTAATAAAATTTGTTTTCCCAAATGTAGAGGCAGAATGTAATAGTATTTTCCTCAAAAGTTAGTCATGATAACTCAACTATGTAATGGTTCTGAAAACACCTATAATGATGCATGAAAGAAGCAATGGAGCATAAAATTAGGATAGTTAATAAATTATAATATTATTTTTCTTTTCCTTTGACACCAATAGTATAAATGGATTTATCATTTTCACAAAATTGTAGAATTTTAGGACTGCAAGGGACTTATCTCAGGAAGATAAAATTGGATTGCTCCAAATACCTCATTTTACAGATGAGTAGACTGAAGCTTAGTGAGGGAAAGTAATTTTCCCAAGCCCCCATGGCCTATTAGTAGAAGAATGAGACTGGAACTCAGGTGTCTTGGCTCCCAGCCTATGGGACATCCATTCATTCAGCTCACCTTTATTGAGTATCTACTAAGTTCAGAACATTGAACTAATTGCTATATTGCCTCTCTATAATATCTTAGTTTGCAAAAAAGTTAAAAAATCAATTTTGGAACATTATGGTAAGTTCAATAAATCAGCATATAATTTTGGACTTCTCTGGAGTGAGTAAGTCTGATTGACATTAATTGGAGCAGCCTCCATTGTCCAGTGCAAAAATGCAAAGTGCTTCCAGCATTCAGATCTCCTGGGATATTCTATTATAGTGCTTCAGACATATGAACATGTCAGGTAATTACTGTGGTTTTATGGCCCTGTCAGTTATGGTTATAGGGAAGCTAAGGATTTACTCTGCATGCAGCCCTTCCAGCCACTCAATGCAAAAATGGATGATAAAACTTTAAGAGGAGTGTGCAGCATGTTGCAAGATGTGAACAGAACACCATATAAGATGTCAGGAGGCCTGGATTCTAGACTTGGTTTGTTACTTCCATTTTCTGTGCCTAGGTTTTTCTAACTGTAAGATGAGGACAATAGCCTATGATCTACAATGCCCATTCCAACTCAGAGAATCTTTGCATCTGGAGATCTACAGCAGGGCTATCCCTAGTGATATGCATGAAGAAGCTTGGAAATGGGGCTGGGTAGGAGCTGAGTATGTAGAATGTGGAAAGGCATTCTAAACCAAAAGCAGAACACAAGTAAAGATGATGAAGCAGGGATAGGGCTAAAATGAAATTTGTGATCTGATCCACATACAAGTACAGTGTACTACAGCTGGACTATAGAGAAGAACTTGAGAACCCATGAGCAACTATCCCTGTACTCTTGGAGGCTCTCCAACCACAGTTTGAGAAACTCTGCATTAAAAGTTAAAAACCGTCACCTGAATAGCTAATAACATCAAAGATTGTGAAAGCAAGTATAAGTAACACAGAGATTAAAATAATGAGGCAGGATCACAAAGTGAGTGTCATATTTGTCTATTTTTTCCTTTATCACTGAAACATAAACATAACATTTCAAAATCATTACGTAGAACTCCTCTCCTCTTCCAGAACAATGCTCAGAGCTTTGTAGACTCTGGTTTGCAAAAAACAAAACAAAACAAAAACAAACAAACAAACAAAAACGTCGCGAAAGGGAGTAGTGGTAGATGAGATGAGAAATGTTGATCAGGAGGAGTCAGGAGGAGATCACGGAAAGCCTTGAACACCAGGCTTAAGGGTTAGTCACTTATTCTGCAGGCTGTAGGGTTGTAGGGAGTGAGTGATACTTGATGAGCAAAAGGCCTGTTATGCTCAGGTCTGTGTTTCAGCTTTCTTTGGTTACAGTGTGAGGGATGGACTACAGGGGTAGAACAGAGGACTTGTCAGGAGGCTGGCTCAATAGCCCAGGATGAAGGAATGAAGGATGAAAGTCTGAGGACCCTGACACAGGGCGAGTGATGGAGGAAGGCTGAGGATGAAAAAAGAATGAGACCTGTTTGTTGACTGATACGGAGGTCAGGATGAAGCCCACATTACTAGGTTTCTAGGCCATGTGATGGGGTGAGTGGTGATTGTACAATCACCCCAGAGGCAGAGCAGCAGTTCAAAACAGGATTTGAGAGAGAGAGAGAGAGACAGAGAGATAAATCCGGGCTTTTATTTGATTCATTCTGTTTTTTTCCATGTTTGACAAAAAAAAAAAAAAAAAAAAAAAGGATAAATGCATCTATTCCTTGGAGTTTTGTAAGGACTGATGAATTAGCATATATGAAAGCACCTAGGACATGTCAGCCACATAGTACCTTCCCAATACGTGTTAATTCCATCTATCCATCTATTTATTATTTATATAAGTTTGCAAATTTGGAGGGAAATAATTAGTTTAATTAGGATCGTATCAAACATTTCAAACTCATTCTGAGTAAAGAGCTCATTAGCCAAGGGGCTCTCTGTAGGGTCAGATCACTTCCAGTCACTAGATTGGGCCATAGTTCAAGGCCAGAGGCTTGTTTCCCCAAGCATCAGGCCGTTTCTCCCTCTTCCTTTCATTACCAGCTCCCTGCCCCCGCTATCATCCTTTTCTAGATCTCTTATGTAGTAAATGCAAAAAAAAAAAAAAAAGAAAGGTGCACAAACATTATGTGAAAAGCATATTCAATTGAACCAATGAGTTTATTCAGTTGACTCTTCTGAGGACATGCCCTGTGCCAGGCCGTGGTACATGTATGTGTGAGAGACTGTGGCATTCTCCTCTTCTCCATGATTGGACAGTACCGTCAGCACTGAGGCTCACAGAGTTGCCTTACCTTGGGAGATGCAGGCTTTGGTGAGAGGGCCCCATGGAGCCTGACCTCAGTTGCAGGCCTTCAATGGGATGAGTAACACCAGGCACTCTTTCTCAGGCTCCTGATCCCCATGTGGTTTGCATGTTGCTCAAATCAACCAAACTCCCACATTGGCCTCCTCCCTCTTTCTTAGTTCCAGGAGACCAGCATCCCCGAGCAAGGGAAACACTGCTCAGCTGCTTTCATCATGATAGCCAGGGCTGAGTGCAGAGCTGTCAGGAAGCCAGGCCGTGTGGGCAGCCGGCAGCACAGGCCAGAGAGCAGGGTGGCGCTGCAGCAGGTGCCTGGGTGTCCCTGTGAGCTCAGTGGGACAAGAGCTCTTCTGTAGAATCCAGTGTGGACTTGGTTTGGCTTTCCAATGATTTTAACCCAACCAGATCCCTCCCTTTAGAATTCCTTCCCTTGGACAAAGCAACTGCAACTGTAATTTCAGATTTAGAGGAAGCCTGCAAACTGTGGCTTCCCTTCTTTGCTTCCTTTTTTTTTTTTTAGATGGAGTTTCATTCTTGCTGCCCAGGCTGGAGTTCAGTGGTGCAATCTCAGCTCACTTCAACCTCTGCCTCCTGGGTTCAAGCGATTCTCCTGCCTCAGAGTAGCTGGGATTACAGGTGTCTGCCACCACGCCTGGCTAATTTTTTGTATTTTTAGTAGAGACGGGGTTTCGCCATGTTGGCCAGGCTGGTCTTGAACTCCTGACCGCAGGTGACCCAGCTACCTCAGCCTCCCAAGTGCTGCGATGACAGGTGTGAGCCACCATGCCTGGCCCCTTCTTTGCTTCTAACCCAATCTGGATGTTGTACTTTTACACACTCCTACCACTGAGAGGTTGGATCTAAGTCCCTTCCCCTTGAATCTGGTTGGGCTCGTGACCACTTGGACAAGCAGCACAGCAGAAGTGACTCTGTGTGATTTCAAAGCCAGGTCATAAAAAACCATGTGGCTTCCAGGTTGTTCACTGTGCACTTGTTTTTGGAGCACTGAGCTGCTGTGTAAGAAGTCCAACTGCCCTGAGGCCACCAGGCTGGAGAGACCATGAATGGATAGGTTCTCTGATCAACAGTCCCCATCAAGCCCAGCCTTCTAGCCGTGTCCACCAATGTGCCTGACATGTGAGTGAAGCCATCACAGACCCTTCAGACCAGCCCATCTGCCAGCTGAATACTTGTGAATAACCTTGGTTGATGCTTTTTGATCTCTCAGCCAAGCCCTGCCTGAATTTCCGACTCACACGTTCAGGTGATTTATTATCCGGCGATAGATAACTAGAACACTGGACATAAATGGAAGAAGCTTTGCGGTCAGCTTTTAATAAGTTTAGGCTGATTTCATGTGATTTACCCCATCCATCTGCCCCTGCTGGTGATAATTCCATCTTGTTCAAAACTTGGATCGAGTTACCTCTTAACTGAGCCAAAACTTTACCTGGGTTTACCGACAGCTCCCTGAGCCTTGACAACACTTTCAAGTTTCCCAGCTATGGTTTGGTTGTCAGTAAAATTTCACATCCAGCCACACACTCACACTTACCCCAACACAATAGCTGCATGTTACCTTAATCCAAATGATTTGCAAAAATTGCCAAAAGTTGGGACTGTGCTTGTAAAAGCTGTTTTCTATGGATCTGGATAAACAATGTACAGCTAACACTTTCTCAGCAACTCCACGTACCAGAAAGGGTAGCTTCCTATTTCTTGGCTTGCACTTCAGGCCCACGTGGAGTGTAAGATTTCTACTTGGGGCCAGATGCTGTGGCTCATGTCTATAATCCCAACACTTTGGGAGGCCGAGGCGGGCACATCACCTGAGGTCAGGAGTTTGAGTCCAGCCTGACCAACATGGAGAAACCCCATCTCTACTAAAAATAGAAAATTAGCCAGGCGTGGAGGCGCAGGCCTGTAATCCCAGTTACTCGGGAGGCCGAGACAGGAGAAAATCCCAGTTTCCTGAGTGGGGCGGAGGTGGGAGTCAGGGTGAGCAGTGTCCCTGGGATCCAGCGACATGCTTATGTGTGCACTTCTCTCAGTATGCTACAAGGACAGGTGCGGTGGTACAGAGGGATGTGAGGTCAAGCCCGAGGACAATCACATGCTTGCTATGTGACCTCAGACCAGATAATTAGTCTGAGTCTTAGTTTTCTCATGAGTCAAATGGGTACAATATTAATCCAGTCACGGGAAATAGGGGGATGTCTTCGTTTGAGTTTTGTCAGAAGCAGCCCCTGAGACAAGGATGTGAGTGCAAGTTTACTGGGGAGGAGGTAAACCAGGGAGAACCCGGGAGAGGGGTGGGTGGTGATAAGGGGAGGGGAAGCAACCGGTAAAGGGGCTGTGGTCAGCCAGTCAACACAACGGGCAGCTGCAGCTTCATCCCAAAGGGGAAGCCGTTGGAAGAGTGTAAAACACGCACCTCAAAAACAATCCTCCCGGGGCGGGGCTGGGGTGTGCACACTCCAACTCCTCTCAGTCCCTGAAGGCTGCTCCGCAGAGGATGTGAGTTTCCCAGCCAGTGTTCATTGTGTAGCTCCTCTGGAAAGCACCGGCACTGGAGAAAGCCCTCAGGCCCAGAGAAGCCAGCCTTCCTGTTGGACGTTCTCTGAAGCACGTTGAGAGGCTAAGGCTGGAGGGTAAGCAGCGCTCATCACATCTGTTCTAGAAGACTGAGTGAGGTCGGTGTAAAAGGCTGGGCTACAGGGGGCTTCTCCTCTTCCCTGTGTGGACCCCTTCTGCCAACAGCGCCATGCCTTGGCCTGTGTTTTCTGAATCCCAAGATCATTTGACACCTGATGGGTCCTGTTTTACACACCTGGAGACCTGGAGAGCTCTTTCCCCAGATAAATGTAAATGGTCCAGGGTCAGCTCTGCCCACTTTTAACACTTTGTTGCATCCTCCATCTCCCACGGCACCCAGCTCAGCAAGAGACACACGGTAGATAGAAGCTCAGTGGTCAATGCTAGGCAGACCACATGGGTCAGAGAAGCTTGGTTTGTAGTGGAAGTGGTTTTGTACAGATGTGGCAGCAAAGCCACATGCGTACAAGTGAGTTGCTATATATAAAGTGCTGAACTAATGTGAGGGATATTACTGATGGACTGTTCCTTGCTTGTTTCGGGCATCCCAGATCGTGAGGATAGAATCAGCAACAGTGCTTGAGGATACAGTGACTCTCGAAGGGAAGAAGAAAGAAGAATAGATTCGGTCTAAAACAGTTTTCCAGTCTCCCTTTTCCTTTCCTCAGTTATTGGGAAACAAGTGAATCCCCTCTTATCCTCTGCTTGGTTTGTGTGGTACATGATGTTTAGATGCTGGCATTGGCCTTGCCGTGTGTAGGTTATGGAGCAATGAACACTAGCTAACATCATTTACTGCAGGCACTCTCTAGTGACTTGTATGTATTAATTCTCATCATAATGCTATAAAGTAGATTCTATCATCATTTCCATTTTACATATGAGGAAACTGAGGTACAGGGAGATATTAGGTAACTCACCTAAGGCCACACAGCTGTTAAGCGGCAGAGCCAGAATTTAACCAGATTGTCTGCTGCATTGGACATGATGAATGCAAATAACACTCACTTTTTTTCTAGTTTGACTATAGAATATAGTGTCTGGGTTCCAAATTATATTTTCATTTCCAGCACCATTGTTCAATAAAGCAAATTTTTGATATACGGCCATTTGGACATTGGTGCTAATAAATCTAATATTTCTGTGTACATTCTCCTACATCGCTAAGATGTCCGTTGTGATCAGAAGCTCACCGAAAGTACTTAGCTGAGTGGAGAATGATTTCTCGGTGTTGCATTTGCTCTGAAGAGTCTGAATTCTTGGGGAGGCAGAAGTGGAGGTGAGTGAGGCAGAGCTCCGATGGGAAGTCAGAGGCCTGCAGCTGGGGCCTCCCTGCGAGGATGAGACAGTCGAACACATAGTAAGGTGACCAGTGGTCTAGTTGCCTGGGATGAAGGGGTTTCCTGGGAGGCAGAGCTTTTCATGCTAAAACCAGGACAATCCTGGGGAAATCAGGAGGTCGGTCACCCTAACCGTATGCCAAAGTATTAAATAAGAATGTTGTTTTTAACTAGAAAACAAGAAGGAAGATCTCCCATAGATTTTCAAGGTGCTGAGAAAACAGCTTCTAGACATATCTCAAAAGCCAAGTTTCTGAGACATAAAAAGAAAGTTGTGGAGGAAGGAAATTTGGACCAGAAGACTGCAGTCCTGTCTAGGAACGTCAAACCTGTGCGGCTTAGGAAATGAATCTAACCTCCCTGAGCCTCGGTTTGTTCACCTAAAAGATGGAGATGAGAGCCCATTTGTGTCACTCACAAGGGTTCTGGTGGCCATCCAGACACAAGGAAATCAAAACGTTCATTCATCTGCAGATGCTCCCACGTTCCTGCAGGATGACTGAAACCCACAGCGAGCAATCCTCATGGGATACAGCCCAGCTCATCCTGAAGAATAAGTGGGAGCTCACCCTCATGGGAAATTCGGTATCTTCACACGCGGCTGTCATGCCACGTGGAAACAGTCATGTATAGGGTCCTGTCACCTGGTAGACTGACCCCAGGTCTGCTGGTCCCTGACAATGGTCCACCGCTTCTGAGGGCTCCACGATTGAGACTTGTCCCCAGGAACTTAGGGGAAACTATATTTTGATTAAAATGAACTATCAAAGTCATTTAGAGAACTCATATTCCTGGAATCTGTGATGGCTCGTGTGTCCCCTCCCTCTGCCTCCCTTTGTTGTTGCTACTGTGACCTGGACTCTGATGTCCCCTGAGGTCCACCGCCCTCCTTCGGAACACAGTCTCCATATGTAATTACTTTAGTATCATGTACCAGCTCTGTGCTCTCTGTGTTCCTGTGCTAACTTCTGCTGTGGTCTGGACTCAAATCGACACGGGCTGCCTAGGGGGCTGGACCCAGCCTCTTCCATCTGCCTTTGCCAGAATCAGAGCTGTGGACCGTGGGGCCTTGGAGGCTGGGATCATATACGACTTGGGCTCCAGTGGATACTCTGTACACAAATCTTCTCTTTGGAGGGTTCAGGGATTGGCTGCTAAAGGGCGTAGAGAGAGAAGGTTACTGTGACTTCTGCAGCATGATGTGGGGCTTCTAAATTTGTGACTCTCACTTAACTGTGCAAAACAGTCCCCAAAAAAGCTTGTTAAAATGCAGTGTCCTTTGTTCTATGTCGCAGGGTTTCTGATTCAGTACAGTGTAAGAATCTGGATTTTTAGAGAAACCACTGAGTTGCTTCGGATACACATTTCTGAGAGTCATATTTGCTGGAACTTTTAGAGAATGAGAATGTGATATTTAAAAAGGAATTCAGTGGCTGGGTGTGGTGGCTCCTGCCTGTAATCCCAGCACTTTGGAAGGCTGAGGCAGGCTGATTACTTGAGGTCAGGAGTTCAAGACCAGCCTAACCAATGTGGCAAAACCCTGTCTCTACTAAAAATACAAAAATTAGCTGGGCATCATGGCATATGCCCATAATCTCAGCTACTTGGGAGGCTCAGGCAGGAGAATCACCTGACCCCAGGAGGCGGAGGTTGCAGTGAACAGAGATGGTGCCACTGCACTCCAGCCTAGGCAACAGGGTGAAACTCTGTCTCAAAAAAAAAAAAAAAAAGTAATTTAGTCTTTGGTGCTTTGCTTCAGGGTATTATTGGTGGCTGAGGTGGTCATCGTTTAGAACTGAAACAAGTTCTGGGATGTGTTATATTTTCTGATTGGATGTTGGTGAAATGGAAAACCGACTCAATATCTTGGACACTTTTGCAAATATTATGTCTTCTGTCTTTCTGATATTCAAGTAGTGGGAGGCAGAGATTCTTATAATATACTCATTTTATAGATGGGGTACTTGGCCAGCTTCCTTAGCTTAAATAAAACCAACACCTGCACGTTATTTTGCTATTTCAATGCATTTGTCCATGCATTCTGTTACGTGGCCGTCCCAGGAAACTGCTGCAGTTGGTACTACTGCCTGTTTCACAGGTGAGGAAGCCTTGGCTCTGAGTAATTCTGGGACCTGCTGGAGGTTAGAGTGAGCAAGAGCTGACACTGAACTGGCTGCGGTGGCCCCTGATATCACAGCTTTCAATACTTCCACTGCGTCTCTCTTTTTTTTTTTTTTTTTTAAGGCAGAGTTTCGCTCTTGTTGTCCATGCTAGTGCAACGGCGCGATCTCGGCTCACTGCAACCTCGGCCTCCTGGGTTCAAATGATTCTCCTGCCTCAGCCTCCCAAGTAGCTGGGATTACAGGCATGCACCACCATGCCCAGCTAATTTTTTGTATTTAGTAGAGACGAGGTTCCACCATGTTGGTGAGGCTGGTCTCGAGCTCCTGACCTCAGGTGATTTGCCCACCTCGCTCTCCCAAAGTGCTGGGATTACACGGGTGAGCCACTGTGCTTGGCCCCAGCTGCCTCTCTAGAGAAGACGGCAGCTCAACTGAAAGTAGAACCAAGAGGCCCGATTGCTGAGAAACAAATGGTGTTTCCAGGGCCACAGACACCTCTGCTCCCGTGATTGAAGATCCAGCCACTACATTGGCTCCCCGTCTCCTTGTCCAGTAAGGGAGGAAAAAACAAAAAGGGGCCAGCTCTCAGTGGGTCCTTTAGGACTTCCTGGATAAAACAAGGACAGTCAGCAACTTAATTTAAACGGAGGAAAAAGAAAATAGGAGGATGAAAGTGACAAGTAGACTTGAATGTCTACAGACATGCTCCCTTGGCTGCCTCTCCGCATCCGGGCACAGGCTTTTTGGTGTCTGACG